TAAAACACCTAAGAAATGTCCTAAATACCTCAACTAATCCATGTGTGGAATTAAATTAGCATAAAATTGGATAAAAAGCAAAAAATCAACTCAAATTTAAAAATATTTTTGAGTCTCTATCTATTTATTAGACAAGATTAAGGCCAAGAACCGCCTTAATGAAGCTTTCTTTGCTAAATGAACCCGTTAATACAAGGATAAAGCTTTTTTGGTCATTGAGTTGTGGTCGATTAATGATTTCTCTCTCTCTCTCTTTGTTTTCCGGTGTATTTCTCTCTTCTCTCTTAAGCTCAAGGATCCATATTGGAGACGCTATTGATGGAGGGTGTGAAGGCTAAAGGGAGTTAACTTACAGAAGACAAGTTCCCTGTCAAATTTACTCCTGTAGTGCGTCGTTTTGCAGGCATGGGGTATCAGCTAAGCAAGGTTTTAGTTGCATATCTTCGTACTGTTGCCGTCTTATGATCTGTTCTCGGGCCTACCTGTCTATTCATTAGACCATGTAAAATTGGATTGGTTTAAATCCATTTTTGCTGTGGTTTCCAGGCTAGCGGCATTGTTGAGGTCTCTTTCTACCAACTCTTTTCAATATTGTGTATCTAGTAGATGGTGTCATAACTCATACTTCAATTGTATTTCCTAATTACACGGATGCGCTTAATTTTAAACTTCTGGTGCATCTCGCTGTTTTTCTTTTAATGGAAAACTTGTCAACTCCAGAACAACTATCTGGTTTTGGGTTCTGGTTTAATTTTACAGAATGCGAACTTTTGTAAATATATAAATATCAGAGTTGTATATATATATTTGTGTCCAACATGAAAAAAAATCTACATGTTAAACTTACTGAATCTCGTCTGCATTTATTTCAATCAGTTGTGTGGCATAGAATTTGTTTCAAAACTAAAAAAACAAAGGAATATAGGACAGATTACATTTCGGGAAAGAGCTTTATGTATCAATAACTGGAGCTGATCCAGTAGGATGACATGATTTTGCAGTGTCCAGATGGTATCCGAAGACTGCGAAACATAATTCTTCCTTCCCTACATTGGTCAATCCCGCCTGCTAGCCAGTGGAACAACCTCGGCCAGAGGGGTTGCGAGGGGTGTAGGCAATGGAGATGTTCTACAGACTGGACAAGTTGGGTGCAGCCTCAACCACGGGTCAACACACTTGAGGTGAAAGAGATGTCCGCAATCCGGCAACAACCTTAGCTTATCAGTGCTCTTGTAATCTGCCAAGCATATGGAGCAGCATGTAGAAGTTGAGTCTGTCTTGTGTAGCTTGGCCTCCGAATACAGAAGTGTAGGATAGCTCTTTAGAGTGGCCTCATCGAGCCCTATTTCAACGACAAAGCTTTGCAGGTTCAGTTGCTGATCTGCAGAATTTCTTCCCTGGCTAGGCACCGACGTCTGCTGGTTTCGTGCGCAAAAATAGGAAGCCAAAGTGATTGTTGTAATGAGCAGCAGGATTCCAATAGATACACCAATGCCATAGCCAAATCCACCAATGTTATTGGAGCCAAGAAATCCAGTATACCCTGTTGTGCTATTCATATCCTCAAGGAATATTCAAGCTGGGAGAAGCCGGGATTGGATATGTGATGCAAATGATCTGGTCAGCCATAGCCATGGCAAGAGAAATGGTTTATTTGGGGTGTTATAAATTTACAAAGTCAACGGGAAGAGGGGGCAGATAAAGAGTATTATTGGTAGAGTTTTTATCAAGGGAAGATGTATTTGGGCTTTGAAGCAAAGAGAGGGCAAGGAGGCAAGCAAATGAATGTGAATACAATATGTTTTTCTTCTTTTGTCAGTCATATATTATGGCTATATCTGCTTAGCTTTTCTAAGGTCAACGGCTCTCATAGCCTGCAATTTACTCTAATCTTGATATGATTAGTAACGTCTTTCTTTCAACTAATCAAAACAAATCTTCAATCCTCTATAATTCTCTTTGTGCGTGCAACGCACGATCCTAGCTGATAATATACATATGCATGCCATGGTTGATTACTACTTTAATTATTCAAGCAAGGCCAGCCAATTATTTGCCCACAAGAAGATAAACAGAGCCACGGAGTTGTTTCTTGCTTGTGGCGTTTCTTTATTGTTTTATTTATATCACAGCCAGTGGCCATGATTAACAGGTTGGTGCTAGTGGCTACCACCTGCTACATACAAAATTTCAAGATTCTTTTGCCCTGTTCTCTTTTCTCTTTTCTCTCCTGTCAGAGATCTCAAAATACTCTTGACTGGTGGTTAAGTAGTTGCTCCTACCATATCCATTGCTCCTGTCGTTTTCTGTATTTGGTGGGCTGAAGTGAGATACGCCAGAGGTCATGCTTCTCATGAGCTCCTGCTGCTCTGGGATGACAAATTGCTTGTTGGCGTAATATGTCTTCATCGTTCTTTATCGTCTAGCCTCCGGGAGAACTGGGAGGTACGCATCCTTCATCTGCATAGCGAGAGACCTAGACTTTGGTCCCTCAGAACGCTAAAATATAATCAGCAAATGTTTATAATTGGGCTCTTCACTCTGGATCATGATTTTATTTTATTTTTTCTTTTTTTATTTCCGTACCCAATATTTTGTTTATTTAGTTTTTCTTTTCGATTTTTTCATTGTTGTTTGACTATTATGTTTTATAAATTTTTCTTTTCAAGTGGTTATATATTCTCTATTCAATGTTTATGGTTAAACCCATAAATATTATTTATTTTATTAGAATAGTGTCTTGTGTTTTGTTTATTTTTTTAAAAAAAATTACTATTCAACAACTATTTTTTTAAAGTTATTTTTTATAAAATTATTTTAATTTCATAATCTAATTTACGGGTTTAACAAGTTAATTTGAGTGTGTTTGGTATTATGGTAACTATTGTGATTGTTAATTTGAGTGTGTTTGGTATTATGGTAGCTATTATGATTGTAGTTTGAAAAAAATTACTTTATAAAAAATATTTTTGGTTGATCAAATTCATATAATAAGGATTATAGTTTCCATGGTTTTTTAAGCATATAACAAAATCAGGTAAAATATTATCAGAAATAAAATTGAAATTGTGATCAAATTCCACAAATATTATGTCATCATACGATATTCTTCTAATTTATATAGTGTTATTAAATAATATAAAACATTAGTTTTTTTAAGTAAAATACAATTTAAAAAAAAATAATTTTTTTATTGAATCAAATATGGTCTAATAAATATTATTTATGTAAATAATGTCAAGTGAATGTTTTTTATATTGTAGATAAATTATAATTCACCTGGCATCACCTGACTCAAATTCATATAATAAGGATTATAGTTTTTATGGTCTTTTAAGCATGCAACAAAATCAGGTAAAATATTATCAGAAATAAAATTAAAATTGTGATCGAATTCCATAAATATTATGTCATCATGCGATATTCTTCTAATTTATATAATATTATTAAATAATATAAAACATTAGCTTTTTTAAGTAAAACACAATTTAAAAAAAATAATTTTTTTTTATTAGATCAGATATGGTCTAATAAATATTATTTATGTAAATAATGTCAAGTGAATGTTTTTTATATTGTAGATAAATTATAATTCACCTGGCATCACCTGACATCACCTGACATGGACATTGTTATGAACAGTGCCCAGGTGAATTGCAAGAGAAGCAGCACCTAGTTGCTATGTGCAGATTGATAGTCTGAGAAAAAAAATTATAAGACCTACCAAACAGTAAATAATTTTTTTCATGTTACTAAATCTCTAGTTTACGCTATTAGTTTTAAACTTAAAGCTACCACGTAAACAAATATTTATTAAAGTTAATTTTAATTAGTTTTTTTGTTAATTTTTTTTTATTTTATCATATTGATTTTTTGTTAATTTTTTTTATTTCATTTTACCATATTAAATTTGTTGATAATTAGATATTATAATTTATTTATTTATTTTTTATAAATTTTTTTTATCTTATGACTCAGGATGATTATTTATTTACCTTCTAATAAAACAAAAATATTAATTTACCCTTGGTGGTTGTTTTTAAAGGTTTTATTGGTCATTATTTATTTAATTGTTTGGGATAATTCTGGGTTTTAATCTTTTTATTAACACAATATATAAACTATATCACCTTGAAAGTAAAATTTATTTCTACATTTTTTAAGAAAAGTGTAAAAACTTTTATACCTTGAGCATAAGAAGTACACTAACAATCAGGGGAATTTACTTTCATTTTTTTAATATTTAATAGGTTGATCGGTCTATTTAATTTATTGAAAATTAATTATTATTTTTTTTGCTTTTATTTTTATATAGTTAACAAATTAATTTAAATTGACACATTTAATTTATTAAGTTTTTTTTATGTTAAAAAAATTAAACCAAATCACATTATTGGCTAATGCAATGAAATTTTCAAAAAAAATTCAAAATTTTTTCAAAATAATTTTAAAATGTAAAAACAAATAAGATATCTCCTCTTTCATGTCATTAAATGTAAAAACAAATAAGATATCTCCTCTGTTATTTTACTATTTATTTTACTATTTTAAAAATATTTTTTTATTTTTTAATTCAAATTAATATTTTTTTAATATTTTAGATCATTTTAACACACTGATATTTTTTAATATTTTAGATCATTTTAACACATTGATATCAATAATAAGTTTTAAAATATAAAAAATATTTTTATATATTTTTAAGTAAAAAATATTTTTACCATATTTCTAAACACTTAGTAATATTTCTCTTATTTTATGTTTTTAGTTAAAAAAAAGAATTTAAAATAAAAAATAATATTAATTCAAAAAGAATGGAGACATTAAAGAAATGATAAAATTTAGTGCGATTGTAAAAATTATGCGAACGTATTATTATAAGAAACTAGAAAATAAAAGAAGAAAACACAAATCAAGAACTGCAACAATATGAAACAGCGGTCGAGCTGGAGCACAGCACCATATACATAGCCCAATACCTTAAATTTTGGCTTAAGAGCAAGCCCATATTTAGAAAGCCCATTCAACCCGATCCTCCTCCCCACAGTGATTCCTTCCTTTCTGCTCGTCTTCGAATCTAAGCTCCGTCTCCCTCCTCTCTCTCTCGCCCTCTCTCTCTTTCTCTCTCTGTTTTTTTACTGGGAAGTCAAAAACATCAATAGAAACCGTCACCGCCATCGCCGCCAGGGAAGCAATGGCAACTTTAACAGCACTAAAAGCTCTCCTTGTATTCCTTGTAACAATAACACCAGTTCTGTTCCTGGTAAAATCAGAAGACACGAACAAGGTCTTTTCACCCTGTTTAGACACCACTGTACAAGAGTCTGATGGCTTCACTTTTGCTATCGCATTTTCATCAAGGACATCTTTCTTCTTCAACAGTAGCCACCAGTTGTCTCCCTGCGACCGTAGACTTGCTCTAACTGGCCAAAATTCTCAGATCTCTGTTTTTAGACCTAAAGTCGACGAGATCTCTCTCCTTACTATCAATACCTCATCTTTCTATCCGGTTTGTCAAAACCCCACTTTCTCCTTACATTCTTCTTGGTTTTTGGATATTTTGCTTGGTTTAGTATTTAAGTAAATTGATGTTTTGTTTCTTCCGATTGATCGAATTGCTTATGTGTGATTTAGTGCTTCTGAATTGGTTTAATTATAGAGATTATTGATGGGTTTAAGCTAAAGTGTTTTAAATTGTTCTTGTTCTTCTTTCTTTTTCTTTTTTGATTGAATGGTAGAACTACTTTCTTGTTTTCTTTCTTCCTTTTTTCTTTTTCTAATTTTAGGGAGTTGTGGAGAAACCTGGCTGTGTTTGATTAACTTATGGAAGAAAATAGGAATTTGATTGAGGGTTTGGACGTGGCTTTTCTGGAGAATGATTTTCAAAGTTCTGAAACATATAAGCTGGGGTAAAATGCACTAAGACGCCTGAATCATGGATAAATAACTGTTGGGAATGTACTCTCTATTAGTTTCAAGAAATTGATAGTGCCAAGCGTATAAACCAATTATCCTTTTGTTTCGTTGATTAATCTTTATTGCATCTTGTTGAAAAGAAGAGATATATTTAAAATGTTGTAATCGAACTGTTCATTCTTATCTGAGCAAGAACATTTGGAAGCTTTTCCATGTGCTGTGACTAAGCCTTCCACAACATGCAGAATTTGGCAATGAGCTTCTGTCTCTGTTTGCTTTTATACCTTGTTTTATTCATGTCCAGCATTGGAAGCTAGGACATGGGGATGGACATTTGGACACTCCAATTACATGGAAAAACAAAAGAATATTTGAAAAAAAAGAGCTAAGTTGGACATGGGAATGCATGTTGGACACACACATGGATCCCGAGTCTAAGCAACATAGGGCTTTCTGCAAATTGCCATAGAAACTGTTGGTGTTAAAATTAATGCTTATTCTCCCATGTGCCACAACGCTAGTTTTGAGTGTAGATAAGGTAATGTAAAGTATTCAGGACTTATGTCTTATTGTAGAAAAGGCTAATTTGTTGTGAAATAGCTGTTTTAGCTAGAGCAAGTTTATAGTTGGTGAAAAATGTAGAAAGTGACACTTGGGTTGTGGGAATAGAAGAAAATTTTATTTCAAGTAATCAAATAGACAAGGTATTTGTGCCTATTGCCTATTTATAACCAACACTCACGACTTAATAATGTCTAGAGATATATTTGATATTGTCTCGTTATAGTTTTAGAACACTTCATGCTAATTGACTTATATATGAATTATAGAATCTGTACATTTGTTCCCTTCAGAACTTAATAATTCTTCTAATACTTTTCAAGCATATTTAAGAATGTGCATTAATTTCAATAGTTCTTATTATGCTTCAGTTAGCTATCAATGTTCTTATTGTGAAAAGATTTTTCTTTTGTAATAAAGGAAAGAGCAAGATCTATCGAAAAAGGTGAACTCAAATTGATTGATCTGAGTTCAAATATTATGAGGCATACATACACATCATGAAAACTGTACCGCATGCTAAGATCAAGCTAATGCATAATCAACTTGGAGTATTTAAAATGTTCATTAAGGAGTGTTAATAACTCACATTCTTCTAATTGTCAGATAATTGTAGATGAATCGAATTATAGAGGAATGGGTGCAATGAGAGATCTCTAGACAAGTTGAAACCAAAAATGTATATATTCTCTTATGTTTTTAATATATTACTTATTTTTTTAGAACTATAATAAACAGTATTAAGGCTCTGTCACTTGTCCATAAACACTTGCACCGCACTACCAAACAGCATGAAATGTATTCTAGATGCTGGCGTGATGTTATCCTAACACAAACCAAAACTTGAGTTGAGGATGCCTGCAAGATGCATCTGTCTTGTGCACTTGGTAATAATTTTTTTCTTTTATTGCCATGACCAAGTGTCTTTTCTTACATTTTTCACCAATGCTGCATTCCAATCGTAACAACCTGTTTAACCTTCATTACCATAAATCCTATGTACCTTACTCATCCTCTCACCTAGTTTGAAAAACCAGCAGCTGGAGTAAAAACATATTTTGTCTTATTTGGCATCCACAGAAGTTTAGTTTGATGCTTCAAGTTTGTCTACACTTACACCATATAGTCTCTCACAGTGAGTATTAATTGGTGATAGCCATGTGCATGTTTATTAAGCCATGCATGGTATCAACCTGGATAACCTAAACCATAAGGTTGGATATAGGTGAAGGCACCACTGGCTTTCAATTTCTTTGAATTGAATCCTGTTCATTATAATGCATGGCATTCCCGCACTCACTTCCCTAGCCTAAGATTAATGCTTTATGCTTGTGCAACTTTCAATCCCTTTTTTATATATTTTTTTCTGTTTTTGCTTTCCAGGAAAATTATGGTGGGTATATGGTTGCATTTGCTGGTCGAAAATATGCTGCAAGGTCTCTGCCTGCTTTTGTTGCAAACAATACATACACTGTGACCAGCTTTACCCTGGTAATAGAAGATCCAGGACCCATTATGATCTTAATTTACTTTCATGAGATCTTTAGGAACCCGTTAAAATTTTGTAATGCAGGTGCTTGAGTTCAAAAAGGGAAGACTACAGAACTTGTATTGGAAAAGGGATGGCTGTGCAAAATGTTCGGGAAACTCTAACTTTGTCTGCCTCAACAATCAGGATTGTGCAATCAGAACAGCCCTATGCAAAAGCAATGGAGGTAGTGTTGATTGTAGCCTTGGGATACAATTGGCATTCTCGGGCACAGACAAGCACTTTTCTGCTCTCAACTCATGGTACGAAGTGGAAAACCTTCGACAGTACTCCCTTTATGGTCTTTACTCAAATCTCAAGAATTCTCTCACCAGTCAGTATAGCAAGATCTTCTAATTGTGATGTGATGGTTTGTAGAGTTTTGGTTCCTCATGTGTTGTGATTTTTTCCTCATCTCTTTTCCAAATGGTGCAGACCTTTCATTTCCAGTTGATGCTCCTCTTTGTTGTATCTCTTCAGAGTTGTGCTGTATAAATTTACATACGTTAACAGTTATTTGTGATCTACATGAAAAGAGATTAAAATGTTTAGAATCTGTCTTTTTCATTATTTTTAAATGCATATGCCCGTAGTTTTTGAAATCGTATGTCTACATTTGTGAACGATTAGTTGCAGTCATGAGAGAAGTGATTGTTATGATTTAATTCTTCTCTTTTTGTGAAGTCAGGCGCCAGCAACAGCAATCATTCCCCCCTTGTTTGGGTGGGATTGGTTCCTTTTGCGTGTGATATTTGGTAATATACTTGTCTTTGGTCAAGGGATTAATAATCGGAGGTAAGTCTGTGCAGCTGATGAAGATCTCGTATTGCTGTTTCCAATGTGGGCACCTCTGCCCGAGCAGAAGTGCATCAGAATTCGCGCTAAACCAGGCACGCATTGCCTATCTTCACTTCTGCTCCGGCATTCTACTCTGCTGATCAAAGCGGGACTGATTTCACCAGCATGCAAGCTTTGTGCTTAAGCCAGGGGACAAGACTCGCTAAACCAGGCAAGCATTGCCTATCTTCACTTCTGCTCCGGCAGAGGTGCATCCTACTCTGCCAATCAAAGCGGGGCTAATATCACTAACAGGCAAGCTTTGTGCTTAAACCGGGAAACAAAACTCTCGCTAAACCAGGCACGCAATTCCTATCTTCACTTCCGAGCGGGGAAAAATCCTTTCTATCTCATGAAGCCAATCGACAAATCCCTTAACCACCAGAACAGGGTGTTTGCAGACAATAGGAGTTCCACTTGAAAACCCAAGTTGATGCGGTAATCATTTTCAACATGAGGCTACCTTTTCAAAATTGGATATATGTAAAGTGACGATCATCAATCTCTCTATCTTTCACATCCAAATGATTGGTTAGATCCATAACCTATCTTTGCAGATCCTTATCATTAGTTCTTGAACATCATATTCTTGAAACATAACTTCCTCATCTCAAGAAGACATCTTGCACTTGCGACCTTCAGCCATGGCAATCAAAAAGCTAAACCAGGAAATACTAACTAATGCAACATGAGCTCTTTATCATCAACTTGTCATGTTTCCTCGATACATTAAATGGGAATGCCACAAGATGTATAAAACAAAACATACTCTATTTGGACGTTGACACGAAAAACTTTAAGTTGCTCTTTAAGGTTTTATTTTAGCTATTTTCTGTGCATACTATTTTATTAATTTATTTTTTTATCCTTTTTTTTAGGTTCCACTCTCTACAAGTGATAGATAGAAAAAAAAATTCATCATACAATATTAAGGGAGAGAGAGTATTTTAATATCTATATTCTAGCAACTAAAAAAACTAATTTTAGTGTTAATATGTTTATCGTTTTTGGAAAGTTCAATAAAAATAATATTACCATCTAGCCATGTTAGGAAAAATAGACGAGATCTTAAAGGTTTTTTGTATTTATTTTTTAGAGATATTAGAGATTGTTATAGAATTGAAAATGAGTTTGTTAAGATTTTTAGGGTATTTTTGGATATATTTAAGTAAAAACGAGCTAGAAAATTGGCTTTTAATGTCCAAAAAATCAGACCTGATTTTTCAATCATTGATGATGAATGGAAAATATTGTTTAAGATGACAAGTCATCTATTATAGAAGATGACTTATCATATATTTACCAAGAAAAAAAAACAAAAACAAAACGAAGTAGATAACACATCATTCACTTCTTAAAAAAAAAATCATTTAAATACATCTAAAGCTTTTGGATCTCTGCTTAGAGCATTAACTTTTCCTCTTTTTTTTTT